AGATATACCACAGACAAACAACACCACGACATCAATGTACGCCGACGACACAGCGATCGCTGCCAGAAGTACCAACACAGGTATGATATGCCGATACCTGCAAGAAGCAGCCACCGAAATCGAAGACTGGAGCATCAAGTGGAAAGTGAAGATAAACCCTGACAAGAGTCAGGCAGTATTATTCAAGAAAAGACATCATACCCCAACAGCGGTAATAGAAATGGACGGACAAAACATACCATGGACAAACACTGCGAGATATCTCGGAGTGCAACTAGACCAAGGATTAACATTCACACAACACACAACAAACATAAGGGCAAGAGCAACCGCGATTAGAAGTAACCTCTACAGCGTCATAGGACGACGCAGTAAGTTACTATTGAAGACCAAACTAAGAGTGATAAGATCCATCATCACACCTGTATTGACATACGCTTCTGTAGCATGGGGACACACGTGCAGAACAAACAGGAAGAAAATACAAGCACAACAGAATATAAGTCTCAGAGTGGCTGCGAACGCACCCTGGTACGTCCGTAACCGCTACCTGTTCAGAGATCTAGAAACCACCCCGGTTTTAGAGATCATGAACAGCAGAGCAGAACACATTTTCAGAGACTTACAAGAACATCCTAATCGCGAGTTGAGAGAACTGACAAGTTACGAAAGAGAAGACTACAGGAGACATGCGCGACCCAGAAAACAACTGGAGTACGCAAACGACGACAACTAAGAGTAATTCTGTGGGAAAGCGCTAGATTTTAATTAAGTAGGCCAAACAAAAAATCCATTTCACCACCATCATCATCACCTTCACCCCTCACCAAAAAAAATTATATAATAGTTTTTAAGTTCGGTCATTCGGTGAAAATCGTACTCAGAACCATATAAGGTGTATTTATGTGAGTTTTAGGTACCATCAGATTACAAAGCGACGACTTCCTCCTCCTGCAAGTTTCTCCCCTTTGAAAGTTCCAGCACTGGGATTGAAAAGGGTAGTATCTTTGCGGGAATAAAACGCGAAACATTTATAAAATACAACAGACGACAACGACGCACTATGTTGGCTCAACAGGTCACCACCAGAGGGGTCCTGATGAGCACTCATAGCGCAGCGAGCAACAGCGCACAAATCGCGAATGTATGAAAGAGAGAGTGAACGCATAAGAGTTTTAGGTCCTCAACCGACTCTTACTAAATGACGATAACGCCTCAACCTTCAACGCTCAATCGAAGGTATGGGGTGCCAATCAATTGCTATTGACATGTGGACCAAGCAGCGGATGAAAAAGCTTGGGGGTGGATGGAAGGGTTTAGTAGGTTTCGATCCAGGTTACCAGGATGGGAACTTATTCGACTCGGGCCAGTAATCAGTGTGTGTGTGTCGTAATCGAAATAGTTAATATTTTCTTCGGCTACGTGAAGGTCAAAAACCAAGACGCAAAGTTATAGTTATAAATATTCGACGGAGTGCTTTATATTTTGTGTTAATTGTGTTGTAATTAAATTTTATGAAACGGTAAGTACCTACCCACATAATACCTATGTATTTGACTTGATTTATGCCCGATTCGCCTGTTCCCATTTCCCCTGATCAATTAAAATTTCCCGATTCGCCTGACAAGCTCAAATTGTGGTATTGTTTCGCCTGACCATAAGTTGGATGGTGCGTGCTTTTTTTATGATGAGGGCCATTTTCAAAATACATGCAAAATTTGATTTATAAGGATGATTTGATTTGAAACAAAAAAAAATGCATTTATTGACATTATTAAGCGTTTTGTACCAGTGTTCTAAACTATCTTGATAATCTTTCCATTAAATCTTTTTCCATAGATACACTAAGTTCTTTTCTAAAGTAATGTATAGTTGAAATTATTACTGGAGGAATTTTAATTTTATAAGAACTAACTTATATTTTATTAAACAAAATATATACAATACAAATATTACATACAAGATTAATTAAAAAATATTAGAACTTCTTATTCTTGTTCTTCTTCCCAATGTGATAGATTCGTCCTTTACTACTCTCTTCGGGTTACGTATGCGTCAGATGAACAGAAGAGAATTTTGGTGCTGCCATCTGCCAGTGTCGGCTGTAACTTGCCGGTGTAATCCTGGTTGCCGATACTTCAGGGGCGCGCGGTTATAGTTTTTAAATATATTTTTTTCCTGGCCGGTTATTGGGACACATAAAAAAAATTCTAAATTCAAAGAGTTTATTAGCTTTACGCTTCGTCAATTTGAAAAAATGTTTGGTTATTATTTTACTAACTTTTTACTATACTGGGTGCTCTATATTTTTTGTTTATATCAAATTAAATAACTATAACATTTTAATTTTATGTTCATTTCTTATTATTATTCATTTGTTAGTAATAGATTTATTTAAAGCAAATACATATTTTTTACCTGAGCAGATCAGTAGAATCGCAACTATTTTTTTCCGTTTCATATGTAGTCAGACAAAACGCTACCAAAGCGTACCAGACCATCCCCTGAATATACCTTTGACTTTGACTTACTTCGGCTATTAATAAGATATTGTTGAAAATACTATAAAAGTAATTCAATACTTTTCACATCTGAAAATCCTGTGTGGCAAATTAGGTGTGAAAAATATGTTTATTATTTTTTCTGTTAAAGTTTGTGCACTAAAACCTGAATTACCCTCAATATTAAATTTTTGATCTAGTATTCCTTAATTTCTAGGAGCCACCTTCTGGTGCAACATTTCGAGAGCAAAAAAAGTTAGGGTCCAAGAAAGGGAGTAGATGGCTGGCAGTATGAAAAATGTCTTGCGAAAAAGTCAAGTTTCCAACACTGAAACGATAGAGGAAGGTGAAAATACAGTTTCTGAAGCGGCGGCACCACCATCTTCTGCAACATGTGAACAATCAACATCATCATGACTTATCGGAAATATATTCTCTATAGAGTCGACCAAATGATACTTTTAACATAGAAGCTAGGCATAAAGCAAGTTCTAAGCTATTAAGTATCCAATCTTTTAAATTTATTTGCAGTGTTATTATTTGGTATGATGTTTTATTCCAGATTGGCATTGTAAGCAAAATGATGCAAAGTGTAACGACTGGCATTAAAGTGTGCCAAAACTATTTAAAGAATCTAGTTGATAATTTTAAAAATTATAGAGATGATAATGTTTTCGAGGAAAAACTTGCTCAAGCTGGAGAACTTGCAGCCGCTCTTGAGATAGAGCAAGGTTTTCATCCATTAAATACTGTTAGACGAAAGTATAAACCAAAACTGTTCGATAATGAACAGAGAGATGAGACACCTCAAGATCCAAAAACAGCGTTTAAAATAAATTTTTTTTTTAAAAATAATTGATCAAACACTAAGTTCTTTAAATAGTAGATTTGAAATGATATCTGATTACGACAACGTTTTTGGTTTTTTTAGTGATATTTTTAAATTAAATGACGAGGATCTTTTACAATGCTGTCATGCTCTACAGCAAAAGCTAACTGATCAGAAAAAGGATGAACTATAAGTTATATATGAGCCACAATAGATTCAGCTGGATAGCAATGGAAGTCGATGAGATCATCCCATTCATTTTCGAACTAATCTAACCTAGTAAGGGAAAATGGGAGTACTAAAAAATTTAAGAAGGAAAAATAATAAAAGACGAGAAAGACATAATGTGGAAAATTTTGAGGAATTACTCAATACAGAAATAATGGATACAGTAAAGAAACTGAAGTCAATAGAATGGGATACACAATACACCAACAATAAGACTATAGAACAAGACTAAAATGGTGTCAGAAGAAATAGTAGAAGCAATAAAGATGGCAAAATGAAGCAAAGTAGTAAAAAGCGATGGGATAACAACAGAGATGGTGAAAATGGGATAATTTTAAAAATATTTAATAAGATAATATCGAATAAACAAAAAATACCTGAAGACTGGAAAGTGGGAATATTATTACCGTTTTACAAAAAAAGAGACAATACAGAATGCAAAAATTACGTTACTGACTACAAAATAATTCTTGAAAAAGAATAAAATTGAAGAAATGAACAAGAACAAGGCCAAGAAAATATGGGATAGTACAGTAGCGGAATGTCTGAAGAAATGAGGAGTTTAATAAATGATATATATGTTACATATGTAATAGATATTTATGAAACCAGTTACGAAATGACTTATTTTATGTAACGAGTGAATATTTGCGGTTTGCGGGACGAGCAGAGCGAGGTCCGGCAACATGAACGAGTTACATAAAACGGCATTTCGTAACGTGTAAAATACAATATTTTTTCTAATTTTGACTGGATTATTTATAAAATTGTGTTTTGATAAAAAATTACTGACATCTAGGAAACCAATATTACTACTTTTTTGTATTGTTAGTTGCATATGTATAATTTTATTGACAAATAGAACATAATAATATTAATTATTTATTCTTAACGACTTGTAGTGTAAACGTTGAGTTATTTTGTCGTGTATTATGTTTTAATTATTTTTTACTGATTTAGAATGAAAAATAAGAACCAAAACAACAATACTACTAGGTTGTAATTTTAACCAAATTCTATTTTTATGAGTCAATCTGCCCTTCTTTGATATAATTTTTCAATAATAATAATGTATATTATTGTTTTTAAACCAAAAGAGGTTTATTTTGATTTCTTTTCTTTTCGCCATTGGTGACAATGAATTTTTCGTAACCAGTTTCATAATGTTCGACATTATGTAACTGGTTGCGTAAAGTAGATTATTTTAACACTTGCTGCGATTATAAAAAATTACACTTTATATGTCAAAATTAGAAAAAAATAAGTAATATATTGTACCTTTACACCCGGGTATTAAATGTTTACCGATAATAAAAAAATATATAGGGACTCTTCTTCGCCAATTGAAACAATATGAAAATAGCTGTTTGGACAGAACAGCAACATTATATAGCTAGTTATTTATAGTGGAAAATTTAAATATAAATATTTGGATTACATACTTGTATAAGTCTTTCGGTAGGATCATAGCTTTTGGTTAAGTTATCGTATTTTTCCAACAATTCTTGTAACGTTGCTTCGACAATGCTGTCACTGATATTTAAATCATAAAGATTTGCTAGGAGCTTTATGGCATTTAAGAGGTCAGATTTTTCTTTAAATGTTTCCCTGACAAGAGGGAAATTCCTAAAAAAATTGTGCAAGTCAGTTGAATCATTTATAAGAAAGCAAATGAAAATCTCTTATTTTGGCTGTCTGATTATAGACCGTCAGATAGTGACAGGTTTAGGTGCCCCATTTTCGCATACAAGCCTCGAAGAGGGTTGAAAAGTACATCGATTTTAAGTAGAGTGATAGTAAATTTACGAGTGGCTCCTGGGGATAACACATGGAAAATTCGATTTTCCTCAACAAAAATGAAAGGTTATTTGTTGCCCATATTTCTACGCAAGCCGTTTTCACTATATAATTAATTAATAGAACTAGGCTTCGGAAAACCAAAGGCTTTAATATTGCAAGTGGCTAAAGGGAATGAAATAAGGGCGTAATGTTCTAAGAAAAAAATCGAGATTTTACCAGATTTTTCCACACAAGCCCATCGAATGTATGAAAACGTACATCGTCACTAAACCGAAAAATATATTTTCTTGAATGGCCTGAATGTATAAGTGCATTTTGGGGTCGGAAATTTTTTCTGATAAGGAAAATCGAATTTTCCATGTGTTATCCATAAGAGCCACTCATAAATTTTCTTTTATTCTACTCAACATCGATGTACTTTTTTTCAACCCTCTTTGAGGCTTGTATGCGAAAATTGGGCACCTAAATCGGTCACTATCTGACGGTCTATTATGACTAATTCGAAGCTTGTGACCTAGATTTGTATATGACCTATGCTAACTTTAGTGGCGCACGCATGATATAACATACATTTTCAAAGTTTAGTTACTTTATCAATAATTATTTTTCATTTTAAGTTATTTAATATTATATATTACTTACGAATGAAGATATTCTGCAAAAGAATGCGCTTTTGTTTTACTAATCTTGTTGACATTACAAACAGCAATACCTGGAAAGGTTATACTAGTTGTGGGAATATTGGAATTGTCAGCAGTAATTAGAGTCGGATTATCGGTATATTCATTTAATAACTTTTCTAACATAAAACCAGATATAATCATCGCAAGCACACTGAAGACAATCCAAAATAGTCTAAAATACACAGTATTTATTTTTTTAACGAATACAACTAAATTATTTAAAAAAAATTGTTTCAGATAAACAAAAAAAAATACCTGACTGCCACGGTAAAGCTATTGCATAGCATTTTTAATCAACTTATGCAATTATAATTATTTATTTATTTTATTTATGCAGTATTTTTTTTTCTTCGATATTAATTCAAGTTTTTTCTTTGATATTAATTCAAGTTACACTTTTTGAGCGTGGTGACCGATAAGAAAACATTTTTTTTCTTTTATTGAATAAATGAGAAGTTAATATTGTTTAAAATATTTTTATTATCTTACAATACATGTAGGTTATTCGGGAATTTTTATCATTGAAACTATAGCTTTATGGTAACTGAAATAAGGAACATAAGTTTGAGACTTGATATCCTCTAAATATCTGGAAAATACCGCGTCAATCGTGGTCCCATATTTTGTTGTGGATTCTTGTGGATCATTATTCATTTTTAAATTCAATTTTTCCGAAATTGTGTCTAAAAGAGATAGAATCAGTTATGAGCAGTTAGCAGCTAGTCTACACGCATACGTCTAGTCGCATGTACACAAACACCGTGCCGAAGTCTGCCGAACTGAAACGACGTTAGACGATGCACGGCTTTCAACGCCGCACTGCTGTACGAAATGTCTTGATTCGGTCGCTACGCTCAAAGCCCGACATAAAAGCTTTTACTACGTTAGCCTGATACTAGATTAAAAAAGAGACATGCTTACCTCTCTATTGAAGATATATTTTTGTTACTAATTCTCTTGCATCCATGAATGCTGGTATGTTCTAAAAAAAAACTGAAAATGCTCGTTAAAGTTTCTTCTTTTTGCTTATTTGACTTTTGATTCACATTTTGAATATGTTTCCGCATTTTAATTAAGTTAATTTGCTTATTATATTTTTTCATTTTGAAAAGTGTTTGGTCAATTTAATGCCCAATGCGTTACTTATAAATCCTACTAAAAATTACATTTATGTACGATTTTAATTAATAATTTTTATTTGATGATTTCACTGATACTTATAATTATTTACCTACATGAAATTATATTTTACTGTAACATGCTATTTAGCTAGATAATTAATCAATAAAAATTATTATTTTAAATAAAATATTAGGAATATAACGGAGAGTCTTGAATAATTAATTATTTACAATTATATTTTCGTCGACCACTGACATTAGTATATCTATTTAACTTTCCACAATTAATGTATTCCACGTTATGTGGATCAGATAATAAATCAAAATAGATTAAAACACATAAAATATAGCGGTCATTATTATTGTCTCTAGGTTTTGATTTTCTTGAAGAATTACTTCTAACTTAGAACCCTATCGATTTTCAGAGTTTTCGGTTCATCCTAACTACTTTAATATTAATTTTCTTAAAATCCACCTATGCATTTCTTATATGACTAATTTTAGGAATTCCAATTATTTCTAACGTCTAACATTCTTTAAATTCCGTACATTGCAAACATTATCCAACGACCTGTCAAACAGCTATTGATTGTAAAGATTAGATTTCTAAGGCGGGTTGCGACCTTCATAATGCAAACAGCCATTTTGGAGGCTATTTTTATTCGAAATTAGTCGCCAAGCCTGCCAATTTATGAAAAATATAAAAGTTTCTTAAAAATGACTTTTTTTATGGTGGTGCTAACTTAAACTTACTACTATTTCGCCCCTAGCCACAAAAACACCTTCATCAAATTTACTTGCTCTCTGTTGCAACCCGGTAGAATAATTAACCGGCCATTTTATTTGGCAAAAATCAAAATAATCCTTGGCTGTGCCTGTCAAGTATCAAGATGTCAACTGTGATGTGTGAATGGCTCTTAAATGTCAAATTATTTAAAAATGTTTTACGCTTCTTTTGATATTTATTGCAAATAATTTGTAGTGTATCTCAATTCTGGCTTTCCATAAATAAAGGTACAGCAAGACAGATAATATAATGTTCTTATACAAAGCACTTTTTTATTATACTCTTTTATATAATGCTGGTTTTAATTATACGATTTTGGATTACATTGATACCATATCGCAAAATAGATTCAACCAGCGAATTGTAAATAATAATTAGTGATAAATTTCCTCAATTCATAAAATTTAAAAATGAATCTTCTAACGTTGGTTGTTAATGACATAATGTGATCAACCCATTTCAAATTTTGATCTATTTTGATACCGAGGTATTTTGTTGTGTTTTTCATTTTAATTAAGTAATTAATCATTTATGTGTATGTTGAAAGAAGGCCTTTGTAAATTATATTGATCTCTATGGATCTACTTTAACACAAAAATAGTTTTGTGGCTATAAGTTGCTATAACATAACCTATAGTCACAAAACTATTAATAATTTAAATATAGTAGGTATAAATAAAACATCAAGTAATTTTTTAAAATAAAGTACATGATCTCAAAACAGAAATAATTTATAATAAATACGGGTAAAACGAGGGGTAAAATAATAATAAATTAAGGGAAATACTTAAAAAGGGCAGGTTTAAAGAGTATTATCACAAGAAAGTAGGTATACATGTTCTGTTTATTTATCAAGTATTGTTTGAGGTTACTTATTTTGAATACATTTATTGTTTTTTTTTTTAATTTCTGTAGACAGTCTATTAAATTTTTGCAAACCTTTAATAAAAATTGTATTTTGGGAACTTTTAGTGATGACTTGCCGTACATGAAAGTCAGATTGGCTTGTATTATAGTTGTGATATTGCGAATTATATTGAATTTTTTCTAATAGATCTGATGCAATGGTACTATGTCATTTTTATTTTATAAATAAATATCAGTCATGTACTGAACATAATTCTGAACTGAAATCCTATTTATTTCTTTTAACATAGTTGCAATACTCATACTTCTGTCCTTTATTAATATTATATAAATAGGCGAAGTAAGGAGCCCAAATATTTTACATGAGCAGGCTTAAGAGGTAAAGGGGCCAATTATTATTGGATAAGTTGCTCGAACAAGTACCTTTGTGGATCTCAGTCTCGATAAGGTGAGTACCACCATTTTAGCATCTCTCGAATTTATGACTGAAACACGAAACATACTACAACTGAAATGAGCCCGTGTTCGTTATACACATAATGTCTCAAATGAGTAATGTTTACGAAGGTTGGCCATAATTAGGCATTGTGTCATTTTTCATGATAAAATTGTGATTTCTGTTCGTTCTGTACATTTAGTTCTAATTTAAAAAATGTAATTGCTTCGGTATTGTCGCAAATCTCAGCGATATGTTGAACAAAATATGGGCAACCATATCGTACTATAGGTAGGATTCCCCATTTGGTCATTCAATCTGTTGGATTCTATAATTAACAGTGCTGCTCCTAAAGTGACGCTGGGAAATAATAACAAATCCTGCACAGAACACACACACTAATAAAAAATATATAAAATTATAAAGTACTGTGGTAACTAGACTTGCTCGTCTGAGGCCATTTCTACTGAATATTTCAAAATAAAATTATTTAATATAGTTCAGACTTTCTTGTGCAGAGTTTATCGAATGTTTATGGTTGTATGTGCTGTTCAATTAAGGGATGTTCCTTCTTAGGGTTCTGTACCCGAAGAGTAACCACCGGGACCCTATTACTATAAGGCTCCACTTTTCATCCGTCTATGAACGGGCTGTATCTCATGATCCGCAATAAGTAGAAAGTTAAAATTTTCACAGAATGTGTATTTCTGTTGCCGCAGTAACAAATAAAAAATATAATAAAAAGGGGACACCCCTAATAGAAACGTGTTTTTTTTTTGACTTTTTTGCTCGATTTTAATAAAGTATTTAAAAAGTACCTTCATAGTATTAAATCTGTACGATGGTGCGGAACCCTTCATGCACTTGGTCGGTTTATTTAATAATTTTGAGCTTTTTTAATACATCAAAAAACAGCTATACCTATAATCATCATGAAATACAATTATATACGGATCAGTTTTGCTATATTTTTGAGATATGAATGTAGTATATCATTTTGTTAATCTTTGGTACAAAGTAGTATTTAAACCAAAGTCCCGATTCACTACCGAAATAAAAATCAACATAAAAAATATTATATATTTTTATTTAAATATAACACAGATCAAAGAAATTGTTTAAT